TTGGCAACTGTACTGCTTCTGATATGCAAGCTGGGTCTAAATGGCTTTGCTCTATGCTGTGTTGCTGATTTTATATGGTATGCCTAGAGACTTTATTTATTCAGTTTACAAGCCACCCTTCCCAACAAGGCTTAGGATGACTTAACAAGAGAAACAGAATACTTGTTTTTATAAGACAACAAAACAACTAAAAGGAGAATTAAAGGACAACATTGGACAGATCCAGCCCCTCCCTGAACAATATCTCTATCTCTGCCTAGCTTTGTTTGATAAATGTCTGCCCAAATAAGGTCTTAAAGTGCTTCTGGAAGTTGTCTAGGCTTGGGCCTCTGGTGGGCTTCAAGAGGGAGGAACTGGGAAGCAACTGGTGAGAATGCCCTCCTGCATGTTTTCAGCAAGGGGATGTGACCTGAACGATGGAATTTGTGCAGGTCCAAGTGCAGCAGAGGACCCAGGTTGTGAACTTGTGTGCAAGGGGAGGCTGAACCCCATCAGTGATGGTTGTTCTGACTCTTTCCCTCCCTACCCTCTCCTGAGGTCAACCACCATCACTTCTGTCTTGCCTGGGTACAGTTTCAGTTGGTTTATCTGCATCCAGTCTCCAGCTGCAACCAGCAGGCATAAATTTCTAACATATCTTTCTTGTCTTTGGTTACTTCTGTTTATTATTAAAACTGCATCAAAACTGAAAAAGCAAGTAAGGCAGGGCTTTCCAGTTGGCAAGTCATACGCAGCTTGTGAAGAATTAACACCCAGCCCATGAGCTCTCACTTGACCACTGCTCCTACTGCTGCTGTCACTGGGGTCTCTCCAGGCTGCCTTTGGGCTCCAGGTTCTGCTTCCTGTCTTGCCCTTAGGGATGGGGCAGCATGGCCTGCAGGGGCTCAGAGAGCTCATTCCCTAGAGAGGAAGAGGGCCAGCATAGATCATCAGCGATCTGGATGATGGGGTGGAAAGTAACCTGTTTAAATTCGCTGATGACACCAAAATTTGGGGGGAGGTGAGCACGCTAGCAGGGAGGGAGAGATTGCAGAGGGATCTGGATAGGTTACAGGGGTGGGCTAACAGGAACAGGATGCGTTTTAATACGGACAAGTGCAGGGTGCTGCACTTGGGCAGTAGGAACCAGCAGCACACTTACACAATGGGGAACTCCCTACTCGAGAGCACGGAGGCAGAAAGAGATCTTGGAGTCATTATTGACTCCAAGATGAACATGGGCCGACAATGCGAGGTCATGGTTGGCAGGGCTAACCGGACCTTGTCGTGCATCCACAGGTGCATCTCGAGTAGAGCCAAGGAGGTGATCCTCCCCCTCTACGCGACGCTGGTCAGGCCACAGCTGGAGTATTGTGTCCAGTTCTGTGTGCCCCATTTCAAGAGGGATGTGGACAACATGGAGAGGGTCCAGAGGAGGGCCACCCGCATGATCCGGGGACAACAGGGCAGACCCTACAGTGAGAGACTGCGGGACCTGAACCTATTCAGCCTCCACAAGAGAAGGCTGAGGGGGGACCTGGTGACCGTCTATAAACTCACTAGGGGGGACCAGAAGGGTTTGGGGGAGACGCTGTTTCCCCTAGCGCCCGCTGGCATAACAAGGAGTAATGGGCACAAGTTGATGGAGAGGAGGTATAGATTGGACATCCGCAAGAACTACTTCACAGTTAGGGCGGCTAGGAGCTGGAACCAACTTCCAAGGGAAGTGGTGCTGGCCCCTACCCTGGGGGTCTTTAAGAAGAGGCTGGATGCCTACCTGGCTGGACTCATTTGAGTCCCGTTTCTCTTTTTGGGGTTTTTTTGTTGTTCTCCCGCCCTGGCGGGGGGTCGGGCTAGAAGATCTACTAGGTCCCTTCCGACCCTTAATCTATGAAATCTATGAAATCTATTTGGCCCCCCGGCCACTCAGAAGTTGTACAGCCATGAATCAAGCCAGAGACTTCAAAGAGATTCTAAAATATCCTAACCTCATCTGTGGCATATTTGACCTTTTTGTTGAAGGAGGAGCCCATGGATACAGACCAGAGTAGTAATATGCTGAGTTCTGTTCAGTCAGAAGTTGCAAAATACCAGATGCTAATTGATGAAGAGAACCAAAAGTTAAAACGATACAAGGTATGCGGAGTTTTTTTTCTTCTCAGATTAAAATGGTTAGAAGGATCATAATAAAAAGCCAGTATGATGTGTGGTTTTCACATTAGAGCTGGAGAATTTAGAAGGGTTTTTATCAGTCTTCAGTCTTTCTTGCCATCTACAGGATACTCTTTTTCTCCAGGGAATGCTTGGAAAACTGAAGGATGAGTTAAGTAACCACTACATTTTTGTTTTTAAATCTTTAATCTCTGTGAAGTATAAAATGGAGAATAATGATGATTATTTGTTTTAACTAATGAGGTGTACCTTCAAAGGAGACATTTGAATAGAAACCTTTTGTAATATATCTACACAGAATACAGTCACTTTTTTTAGAATTCTTCATTTAAACCTTTTCTACCTAGCAGGTTTTGCAACACAGCATTTCCATTAATGCCTGAAATTTTAATTTTCAGATTGAAAATATTAGAAGAAAACATAATTACTTGCCTTTCATCATGGAATTGTTAAAGACTTTAGCAGAACACCAGCAGTTAATACCACTAGTAGAGAAGGTGAGTATTTTCATAATTCTTTTTAAGAAATAATTCTTCATACATAATTTCTTATACTTGCTGTTTGAATAGACATATAGCTGCATTTTTAAATTAGATAAATTAAATTAGAATTGCAAGCTACAGTGCTCCATACAGTTAAATTGCTGGATAATTATGGAATGTCTTTCCCGCTAGTTGTAATTACCCATCTAGGAGATGGACATTAATGTACTGAGGCCCCAGGCATCTTCTGCCAGAATGTCTTAGCTATGCACATTAATCCTGAGACGGTAATATGTCACGTCTGAGGGAAAAGAATACGAAAGGCTGGATTTGTCATATGACTTTAACTCTGAAACATAATCCATTTTTTTCCTGAAAACTACTTAAAATTTCTTATATCAATATTGTGCATTGGCAGCCCTGTTACGTGCTGTCAGAAGTGTCTGATGAAGTTTGAGTAGGACTTCTACATTCCCAACGTTCTAAAAGTTGTATATTAAAGGCTTATAACTTTGACTAGCAGATCTGAAAATAGGATTCAGATTGCTATGCCCAGTTGTTAGGTCTAGCTGAGAACACTAGGTGGCAATGCATACACAGAAGAATTTATACAATACAGCACACAGATTTCTGCTCCTTTCATTTGCTGTTTCCTGCTTCTACATCTGCCAGTTCATTGTTTTTTCCTAATTCCAGCTGTTGACCCAGCTATTAACCCTAATTCATTGTTCATGTTTAAATTGAAACATGTTCAAGCAAAGTATGTAACATGGCCATTGTCACCCTGGCAGGAATATAAAACCGCTAAAGCAGTGACCTGATTGGGATTCTTATTACATTATGGGTTGGCATTTAGGAACCTGCAGCATGGTAAAATGAGACAATGTCCAGCTTGCTATTCTTTACTGTTGGGTTGAACTTTTTAAACTGTAGAGCATACCAGTTTCCTGTGTTACATCCTTTAGAGGAAACTTGCTTTACCCCATTCAATGTGGGCTAGTTTCTATCATACCTTTTATACAGGGCAGTTCATCACCTCCCCCCCACCTCATGTTGAACCCTAAACCTTTGGGCTTCAGGTTCTGTTTTTCTTGCAGCTGCCTGATCCAATACCAAATGGGTATAGCAGATGACCTTGCTTGGGTGAGAATCTTATAGCTAATGGATGTACAGTGTGTCAGTCTTCTCTTGAAGAATTCAAGTTCTGGGACTTAGGCTCTTCTTCCTGGAGCAGTCAGGGAAAGTACTTCAAACCCAGACGAAATGATTATCAAAATCCAACAAGTATTGAAGGAAACATCAATGGACACACCTTTCAGCAGATGCACAGCACAAGATTGGGGCCTAAAGTAAAGACATGGCACCAAAGCCAACATGGATCATCATAGTATGATACTAGTATATATATGATATTGGGGAAATCTAGACTTGCATTAGCAACCACCATGATTCTAAGAGTACCATGTGTACTGGTACTGCCTTTAGAAGGAATCAGTCCCTCATTAGGTTGATTCCTTCTAAAGGAGGGATGTGCGTTCTTTTCTTACTTGAGACCTCTTAGCTGACATTAACAAGTGATGCCATAGAAAGATCAGGCAGTTCTCTTTTTATAAGGCTCCATCATAATTTCACTGCCACTGACCTAATGTAAGACAGCCTAACCATATCTCCTGTCATATGCTGCCATGGTATTTTTCAGTTTACTGGGGAATAGTCCATGGGACCCAATCCCCATACTGTCCCAGCAACTGAACACGCTCCTCGCTGTTAATTTTTACCAGATCACTGTTATCAGGTAAATCAGAATGTTGCCAGCCACATTGCAGTCTTCCTTGCCTCCCAAACGTTTCTTATCTTTTTCACCAGAGATAGTAGTAACCCTAGAACTGGTATCAGTGCAAGACAATAGTAACTTGCTATAGTAAGATCTTCCATAATCTGCTTGTAAGAATGAATTTTAAATTGTCTAGAAATAAAGATTTAGTTTTTTAGGAGAAGTCTGAGACGTCGGGTAGATTGATGTTGACCAGGATTGCATAGCAATCCTGGTCAGCATCCTCATAGCAAGTGAAGGGTTACCAAGCCTGCTAAAGTCTTGTAGCAGATACCTATTGTCCACCATGCTATAGTTAAAAGGATGGAAAAGCACAACTAAGTCATACAGATTGCTTTCTGAGTGGCTGTTGGATGTCTTAGGCAGGTATGTGGCAATATGACAACATAAAGAGCCCACCTTTGATTGCCTGCCTTCACCCTTTCATCTGCAAACCCTTTCTTGCACCATTTACAGTCAGTCTGGAGTTCCTGTCCCCAATTTTATCCTAGACCATTTCCAATCTGCTGTTGGTCCCTTGTGTTCCTCAGAAACATCTTTGCAAAACGTTGCCAATGACTTAGGGATCCATTTATGAATATTTACGCAAAGAATTATGATTTTCAGGTGGGCAATAAGCAACATGAGAAGACAAATTCCAAAGCAATAAAAAAATCTGTTAGGCACATTGTCTAAGTTGGTGAAATGAGAACAGAAATATAAACATCTAAGATTATATCTTTCAGTAAAAAGTAAAGCTTAATGTCCTTTTTGGTCAATAAATTTAAGCTGCAATGTGGGTTTTTTTTTTTTAAAGCCTTGTATCTGCTTCTGAGTAGTATTAGGGCATTCAAGCATCTAAATCTTGTTTTAAAAGTTCTGGCATGATGTATATTGGATATTATACTTTATGATTTGTGAATTTATTTTGAGTTACAGAAAAATATAGGATGTATTCTCATTCCACTTTAATTTGGTTTCTGTCTTTGCCTTCTAGGCAAAAGAAAAACAGAATGCCAAGAAAGCTCAGGAGGCCAAGTGAAGATAATTTTGGAAAAATACATAAAACAATGTGCTTATACTGTTTTCAGGACAACAAATAAGACTGCGAGGCTTTTCATAAACTTCAAATATGTCCAGCGCACGTTTGACAGTTGTAACAGTTTGTCTTGTACTGTATTCATGGGTCTATAAATACTTATTCCCTTGCATCATGTGCATGTGTATCTACTAAATAATGTCTATATTTCTTGATCAAACTTCATTATTTGACAGTTGCATCTGATTTCTCATGGCTTCTTGGGAAATAGAACTGCCAGTGTTATAGACCTAAAAATGTGCAAAATAATGTATTCATACCTTCTAATTTTTTTTAACAAAATATTTTCAATATCTTGTCCCATGGTAAGGACTTGAATATATAATGAGACAGAGAGTGTCAGCAATTCAAAATAACGGTTGAGCTTTCTCTGCTCATCACCACTAACAGTTATAATAGCCTCTGTCTGTTCAGCGACTTCCCCTGTGTTTTTGGTTTTTATGAACATTGTCTGATTTTTTTTCTTTTTTTATAGAGTTGAAAATTATGAATTAAGCTGTGGAAACATTTGCAAAGACCAATGTATAATCTCAAAAGATCTGCATTGCTTTAGTAGAAAAGATAATAAATATTCCCATTTTTATTTTGGCAAACTTTCTTCAAGTCGTATTTTGCAGCTTTATTATAGGACAATGTAACAACTTTTGGCATAGGAAGTATTGGCTGGTTGAATGGAGCATTGCAAGTTTGATGTAATGAAATTCACAGTATTTCTGAAGAGGCATTACAAATATTATTTATTTCATAGTCTGTTAATTTTAACTTTTTAAACCTATACTTTGACAGACTTTCCCCCTCAAAAACAAAATTCATAGAAGACTTGAAAATACCAGATTTTTTTTTAATGGTTTTGGTGCAGACGCAAATCTTGGAAAGCAGATTTAAGAGCAGGTTAAACAGACACTTGACTCAGATAATTTTTGTTAGGGATAATCCTGCCTTGAGTAGGAGAATGAACTAGATCAGTGATTCTCAACCATGGCACCTTGAGGTGCCTTGATATCCTTTGAAGGATGCCATGGGGGTGCCGCATAGTGTTAGCATTGTTAGGTGTGAAAATTCATAAGATTAAAACCAGAGATTTAAAATAAGAATCCACAGAGTTAAAAATATTCTGACCTGCTGTGGTCTTCCTTCCAACAGAAGAATTCCTTTATTTTTTTCTGCAGTCAAAAATGGAGTGAAAACTAACAGCTGGCATTTTCAAGGCTAGTAAAGGGCGTCTTGAGTCTAAAAAGTTTGAGATCCACTGGACTAGATAGATCTGAAACTTGACACTCCTGAGGTCCCTTCCAGCCCAAATATTCTGGCTGAGAAAAATAGCCATCAGCTTGTTGTTCTTACTGAGATAATTACCTTTGTTTGTAAAATGAGAGGTCTGCTCAAAATGGCTTAGTGTTTATACTACAGTAAAATCCCTGCTATCCGGCATTTAAATAACCAGAATACTAACCGGAATTTCTGGCCAGCCAGATGCAGGGAGGGTGTGAGAAAAAGCTCGCACATGGCCACTGCTGCCGCCACACCTCACTCTGTGCTGCCGCAGCTCCGCATATGGCCTCCGTCCTCTCTTCCCCCTGCCTGCTGCCGGCTGCACATGGTGGTGGGGGGGGGCTCAGAAGGTCACATGCGGCAGCTGTGCTGCCACTGCCACCACTCCATGTGTGCTGCCTTGTGCTGCTGCTGCTCTGCCATGCTGAGTGCCGCTCCGCGCTGAACCCTGCAGCTGCCACCAATCCTCATGCGGCTGCTGCCCGCCCCCCACCCCGCTCCATGTTTCTGAAAACCCTGCTTGGTTCAAATAACCAGAGTTTTTACATAACCGGCAATCCCCTTACCCCAGGGTTGTCGGATAACAGAGATTTAACTGTATAAAGACAATGGTGATGCAGTTCTAAGTGAGTTAGCACTCTGGAAGAGCCTTATCCAGGTCTTCTA